TTTCAATCCCCAGCTGCCTTCACTGCCTGTGTTTTTACCCTCCACCCGTATATCTCCCTTTCGCTGTTTTCAATCCCCAGCTGCCTTCACGGCCTGTGTTTTTACCCCTACACCCCAACTCCTCCACTCCCTTCATCTATCCATCTTTCTCTCTCCCTCTCTCTCCCCTCTCCCTCTCTGGGGTGCAAGTGCCTGGTACTGCCTGTCTCCTTTTTTCTGAGCTGCAGAGAACACATCCACCACTTCCACAGCACGGAACTTGAATGACACACAAGAAAAGAAACAGGTCTCTCAAAGTGGGCCAGAACTTTTTCCACCTGACTCAGCATTCATGCAAATATTTTGATACACAGTCTAGTGGAAATCCCTGCTGATCTCCAATTTGAGAATTTTTTTTAAAATGGTGACTCACTTGAAGAGACATAAACATCCGCAGAATGACATACTAGTTAATAAAATTTGATTCAAATTCTCACACACCAGAGACACCAAAGATGAGCATAAATCTTGTGCGGCTAACAGAGTTAGCTGTAAACTGTACACGCCTTTACATTTTTAACGGATGACAACAGTCTGAACTCGTGCTCAACTCTTCATAAGTAAACAAGGAGAAATCAGTGATATGACACGAGGCATGTTAGAAATGTCCAACCCCTGGGAACATGGGTGGAACAATACTGGACAAAAAGTTCATTTTCTCATCTCGTAAAAAACGTCTCGTTACTACTGTACCGTTATGCTGCTGTTTATTCTGTTTTGCTCTGACAGACACAGCTCTGCATCATCACCCCCTGGAGTTGGGGTTAGATTCCAACTGACCACAGATTAAAAAAAAAAAAAAGAAGCATTTTATGTTTTTTCTGGGGTTTCAAAGTGTGAGGGTCTTGGTCACATTTTCATAGCTGTGGCCGACAGTTCAACGAGCCATGATAACGCTGTCAGTCAGCTAACTGCAGTGATGTGGAGGGGAGAGGGTGACAGGCATCACAACTGCAGCTCGACAACAACAACAGCAATGAGAAGATTGGTAAACAACAACTGTTCTGAGCAGAATATAAAACATTTCAACAGAAACCGAGTGCAAATTCAGAAATAATTCACAGCTTAGACTAAACCAATTAACAGACTTTAAATTTATATGCCTATTATAAACCAATTAACAGACTTTAAATTTATGAATTTACAAGCCTATTGACAAGATATTCACTTACCTTGTTTTGCTGAATTTCATCAAATTTAAATCAAATTTTGAATTTCACATATGTACATTAGCTGTACACAGAGTATACTCTAGCGCAGGGCAAATCTGGCCCAGGACTAGATTCCATCATAAAACAATGTAAGACAAAAATGTGATTTTAATTTTATGTGTCGGGCTCTTAACGTGTCTGTCCAGAAAGATTCTGACCCTATGACAAATATAGTTGGTGACTCCTAGCATAAACCGAATGTTAAAAAAAGAAACCCTCAGTGACATGAGCCTCAACAACAACCCAAACTGTTGGCCAGAAAATTGGCTTTCAAGTCATGCACTTGTGACTGACAAAAATGCGTAGGAACATTTTTTTCAAAAGCCTTCTGCGTGTATTCAGCAGAGCAGACTTGTCATCATCCAACCAATAAATGTCACTTACACCAATCAACTCATCAAAATAACACACACACACGGATGTAGCAACCCCAATAACTTAATCACCACTAAATTTAATCACAGCAGATTAGTGAGGATCATTTTATCAGTCGTGTTCAGTGGGAGACGGACGGTGCTGCAACCCCACAATTTATAAGCAAAAAAACAAACAAACAAAAAAAAAACAGCAGCAGCAGCAAAGTGAGAAAATAACAGGTTATGACAAACAAGAGCGCAGATGTTTTTTTGGAGACACGGTGTTGCTTGAATAATGTAGACAGCAGTGGAATCCCATCCAACAGTACATGCTGATAAAACCACTACTATACCTTGAAGGAATCAAGCCAACAACAGATGCTTGAGGTAATAACCACAGTGGTCTTGACCTAACGACCTCCGAAAGCCCCCTTCCGTCAGAGGCATGAGCTCAGTAATGATGAAAGGATACACTTTAATGGCTCCCGACTTTGTGCCAATGGCCATAATTTGCAGTTTGGGGTCAAAGGCCAGAGAGCTGGGCTGATGAGGGAACCCATGTTCCACAGTCTGTAGGAGACAGAGACAACAGAGAGAGTGTAAAAAATACCATATATGCAAATGAAAGAAATGTCTAAAAAAAACTTTTGCCTTTGTCTGACTAGAGTCAGTGAGGCGTCAAGAAGGGTGGACTCCCTTATTAAAGTTGTAGGAGAAGATCTTAAAATGGCACTAATGGCAATACTATTGCTTCATTCAGACATTACCATAAATGAGAGAAAGAGGGGGAAAAAACAACAGACAACGGGGCTCCAGACTGCCACAGTCAAACAATGTCGGATAAAAGATAAATAAATAAATCATATTATTCATGGCTTTGTTTTTGTTTATTTATGGGATAAGCTTTTGGGACATAGTCCAGAAAGTGGATTGAGAGAGTGTGATGCATTGCACAATGGATCAACTGCACCCTGTACTGTATAGGACCGTGTGTATGTGTGCATGGTCTCTTAAAATCAATGTAACCAGAGAAAAATTAAGACAGTGAAGTGGACAGAAACCAAAAAGAAAAAGTGTCAACTTTAAAGATCAGTGATCAAACAGATCAGAAAATAAACAGAGTAATCTGATGTGAAGGGAATCATTAACTTTAACCGTGTCCTTCTCTGAAGTAGATGTCAACCTAAACACACACACACACACACTTTGTGACCCATAGTAACACTTCAGGGAGACCACCTACAGGACAGTGATGACAGCTGCTGCTGATCTTAGTGGAGTGTTACCATTACCTTCTCTTTTAGAACAGCTTTCGCAACAGTTTTATTCCAACCAGGGTTCGTGTGACGCAGACTTGTTGCAAGATAAATAATGTATTTCAACATAAACGTGTTTGTCTGGTCTGGTTCTCTGAAACACTCGGTTCTACAGGCTGCAGACGGAGAGCACAGTGGCCTGCCCTGACCTGGGGGTCAAGGCTGCCATTAACTTTACACAGTACGAGTATGTTGTGCACACAGAAGTGCAGAACGTGTTTGGTCATCCATCGATCTTCTCAGAGCATCAACAGCCACCGCTTTTCAACAGTCAATAGACCATCAGTGCATTAGTGTATTGACGGTTACATTTCCCAGCAGCTCAGATACTGTGACCACAGACAGGAGTCAGAAAACTGAGTTAAAAAAATGTCTTGGTCCAAATAAATGTGATATATGTTCAAAAATATCTCACAGTGAGATTAGTAACTTGTTACAGTAATACAGCCAGCTATGCCTATAAATATGACTTTGATAGCACTAACATGAAAATATTTAGAGATCTTAATGATAAAAAAAGGGGAAAGAAAATTGGCAAACCACTGTTTTTAGCCATCCAAAATTTTAGCTATCTGCTGGTCAGTAATGGTAGTGCAGCACTTCTACATTTTTGTAAAATTAGACTCAGGGGAGGACCTCAATCTGCAAACAGAATTTATCACAAAAATATCCCCAAGCATCACATATATTAATGTCAGAGGGTTGAAAAACATTGATGCCTCTCATGTGATTCAGCCAAGAATCTAACACCACAACATGGTTTACGAATATTGTCTAAAAAATCATAAATACTTCAGTCCAAACAGACTAAATTCCTATGACTGTATTTTTGGCAAGCAAAAAATGATTTTCCATCATCCGGGGGGAATTTTTTTTTTCTCAATTAAAACAAATTAAATTCACCACTAACCACTTCCTGCGATGTGTGATGACTCTGTGTATTGTTCCAGTCCCTGTCTACATTTTGTGTGTACATGAAGCAGTTCACATTATCTGGATGACTTGTGTGAAACCTGACACTGGTGGTTTGAGCCACAGACCCTCAAATATTACAACAATAAGATCTGAAGTTCTGAGCAGTTGAAAATTCCCCTGCACTGTGTAAATGTTGTGGCAGCTTTGAAACAACACAACAGCGTCGTCGTCACTACACTGACATCCACACTGATCAGTGTACGTATCAGAACAAGGAAACTATGAAGCACCAGACCGCAGCAACACAGTTCAGCCTGGTGATGTCTCAGCTGTTAATGGTTATTTGTAGGGTCACACACACGAACACACACACTTTGAACAGAGGCCGCGTTTTAGTTTGAAGCCAATTAACCGGCCAATTAACACACAAACACACGCACGTCAACATAAGAGCCGTGAACGTCCACCAGGTCCCACCGGGGGAGACGTGTTAACTTAATTTGTATGAACACACAAACTGAGGTTAAAACTCAACAAACCTCAGCCACAGGACACACTATGTTGAGTTTCAGGGAGAGGAGCAGCAGAGGAGGTGAGGTGCACAAACACTTCACCACCTCCTCCTCCGTTGACCCGTTACTTTACCTTGTTGAAGGCGAAAAGCTCCTGTTTTATCTTCTCTCTCTGCGGGTCTGTGCCCTGCCGACGAAACCTAAACTTCATCATCCTGGAGCCGGGCAGGGGGAGCTCGGCAGCTCCGGGTGGGTGTTGGAGAGGGGGGACGTGAAGTTAAACACGGAGACGAGAAGCCCGGGTGCGGACGATGCTAAGCTAGCTAACGGAGAAACCCATGCAGGCTGAGAGAGAGAGAGCGGGGCTGAGACGCTGCTGTTGCTTTGCTCCTGCGGGCTGCGGCTCTCCTCCCTCCTCTCACTCCTGGAGCTGTTTAGGTCGCGGTGGCTTTGACCACAGCCCCGTCCTCCTCCTCTTCTTCCTTGCCCCCTCCTCCTCTTCGCCCTGCGTTCCAGTTCCCGGTTCACACGGAGCCCCGTTACTCTCAGCCAATCAGAGCCATAGAATCTGCAAGCAATTACAAAGGAACGCCCACAAACCCCAGAACACTGGAGACGGGGTGCGTTCGGTTTGAAGCGCAGAACGCACCACATACTGTTGCTAACCTTCCGCATCAACACGGGGCAACAATCGGGGACTTCCTTACAGCAAATTAAACTAACTGATAGTAAAGAGACACTATAGAGTTAATGAAGCAAAACAAACGAACACAATACTTAAAAATAGAAAAAATAAAGAAAAAGGAAAATAAAGAGACACTATAGAGTTAATGAAGCAAAACAAGTTAATGAAGCAAAACAAAATAGAAAAAATAAAGAAAAAGGAAAATGACGAGAATTGAATTTAAAACATTTTTAAATGGTTTGCGATAGAACAGTAGCATTATTTGATTTATAAAATGACATCAAATCACAGGCATCAAAATAATTAAGTCATGCGTAAAATAAGATTTAAAATAATTTGTTTCATTCATTCTTACAATGTCCATCAACAGGATTTCCATACTTGCATAACAAAACAATATAAAACTAATAATGTCCTAAAATTACCAGGTTGCACACCATTTTTTGCATCATATACATGTATTTCACTCATTGGTGTGACATGGCACAATTCTATACATTTTACTAAATTAAATAAATTAGTTATCTTTATTCCTGGAGGAGGAAATGAGTTAAATTGTTTGTGCCCATTTAGGTGTAAAACAAAATTCAATTTAAAAAAGTTCTGACAAACAAACAACAGAAATAGAATTCTAATTGGGAAGGGTTGTTAAAAGGCTGCCATTGTGTTCTAATGAATTTGTATTTGCTGTAATAGAAACTCTAAAAAAATATAGGGTTTTATCATGACATATACTTGAAAGACTAAAATGCCCTTGATTTTATAAACCAGGTGGTTGAATTAAGACAATATTGGCCTAATAATGTAATATAAATAGGTACCAGGCTTTCAGGATACGCTTACACGACCTTGTCTTTAGCATCATCTTGACATTCATCACATCTTGTCAGTATCAAAATACACTCTGTTTCAAATAGAGGTAGATGCAGTGCATTTACAAGGCATTCAGTGTGATTTGTGTATGTTTGTGTGTGTGTGTGTCCTATAGCAGTGTAATTTCACTTGGTGGCAGTGTCAGCCTCTTCTCTCTTAGTGACAACATGTTCTCCATGTGCATGGCAATGACTCGGCACAGCTCCAGTCCCTGAGGAACACAAACAAGTACACAAACGGGTGCACAAACCAAGATTAACCTAAATTTACAGATTAATTACACAAAAATAATTTGGCAAAATACAAAACACACACCTGCTCCAGTTGTAGCTGTGTTATGCGCTGGTTGAGCAGATCTCCGATCATGATCTCTACATACGGATAACTAGAGCCTGAAGTCGGTCTCTGGGTCCGAGTGGACTGGACCTCCTTCAGAGGGAAGCGTACCATGATCTCCTAAAGACAGAACACACGGACAGGTATCCCAGGAATGTAAATGAATAATAATAATAATAATGCACAGACTAAAAATGTAAGATTTCTGTCATATATGATTATGGGCAGAAAAAACGAGGCACACCAGTAGAGGGAGCCAAATACCACTATAATTTAATAAATGTAAAATTTGTTTTTGACAGCTGTGTTTGTTGGATTTATACCAGTTACATACATGAGTGTCCTTGTTAAGAAAGTGTAATCCGTTTAGATTGACTGCCAGTATACACGGAGCATGGATGGAAGCATTGCTCGAACTCTGAATGTAAAAGAAGGAGGAGCCGAACATGGGAAAGGCGCTGACCAGGCCTGGGGAGAAGAGTTAACAAGATATCAGACCTCGGTTTTCTCCAAGTCAGTGAAACAGCCCTATATTTGTACTGTAGAAATCCTTACAAACACAAACACACCAAACTGCAGTCTTACCAAGAAACTGTGCACGGGCCTGGTGTGGGTTCAATGGCTGGACCTGCTGCATGTGCTGAGTGACCATGTCCAGCCAATGCTGTGAACCTTGTTTGCCGTAGAACTGGGGAGGGATGGACTCCTGCACCTCACGACTACAAAGACACAAAGTGAAATTGAGAGAATGTTGAGAGGAAGAATATATACGCCTGACACAGCTGTTCAGTACTTTCCTGGTTTTGCACAAATACAGTGCAAACGACAAATTATTTTATGAAAAGTAATGTTGTGTGTATCCTTTTTGTATTTACAAAGTGGGCAGGTAGACGGCGTCCTTAGCACGGTGCTGTAGGGCAGCAAGCCTGGCGATCTGCTGTAGATGCTGTTCACTGGGCTGACCCTGAGGAACCACGGTCAGCAGGGCCTTCAGGTAGTCTGGTAGGACCTTCATTAGAGACACAGAGAATCAAACTGTGTCCAAAATCAACGTGGAATCAGTCAGAAATCAGTTGAAGAAGAACCAGATCTGTACCTGGTTGTAGTGCATGGTGACATAGAGTTCATTGTCTAACTTCAGAGCCAGACTCCATATGACTCTTCTGAACCACAGACTGTAGTTTGAATCCACAGGTTCAGCCTCTGTGGCAACGTCCAAGATGTACTCTCGTTTGTTCAAGGGACGAACATTCTGACCTAAAAGGAATGTCAGCGTTGATGAATTTATCAAAATATTACTATATTGTACTCTGAGTGCTGGACCTTTGGTTTTTCAGCACATTTACCTTTGTGTGTGACCAAAAAGATGGCATATTCATCCAAGGCCTCCGTCCGGTGAAGACTCATTTCGTAACATAGCTCCTCAATGGCATCTAAAGCTACCTGAAAGTAGAAGCACCCATTCACTACAGGTTCGATTTGTTCAAAGATTTGTGGCCCATGAATGTATTTGATGTGGCAGCTAATTTACCACGCACAGCCTGGATAGTACTACAAAACAAATAATTCTACAAGTCTAATTTTAATACAACCAACAATTATTAAACCCTGTGTCTGTGTGTGTGTGTGTGTCACTCACTGAGCAAGTCTTGATTTTCAAGTGCCTTTCAATCCCACCTGGCAGCAGAAACAGCTGTCTTTTGGAGCTCCGCCCTGCCTGCACACGAACAACCAATCAGTGGACATCGGTGATGTGACAGAGAACATAAAAAAACTGTGCACTCATTAGTCATTACATATTTTTAATACTAAATTCTGAATAAAGGGATCAAAATATAAATGGCATGTGTGTCATTTCTCTGACTAAATAAATGTTAACTCTCACACACTTTCCCAACATGAACTGGTGAACTCATGTAGTTCATGTAGTTCTGCTGTGTGTGTATATGAAACTCTGTGAATAAGGCATGTGTGTCATTTCTCTGACTAAATGTTAATTCTCACACACTTTCCCAACATTTTTGGTGAACTCATGGTGAGTTCATGTAGTTCTGCTGTGTGTGTGTATGAAACTCTGTGGATACATTGTAGACTAACCAGCATAGCTTTGAGTTCCATGCTGTTAGGAAACTGTACACGTCCGCCATATTGAAAAGTCTTCCTCAGATTCTGCTCACATGCCTTGGCAACACCTGTCAGGTCAAAGCAGCAGTGGTTTATGGTATTATTAAAACATCCGATGTGACCGTGAACCGACAGATAGATGTTTTGAATTCTCCACCTTGGTACAGAACTCCAGGGCTGGCACAGGCATCCTGCAGAAACTTCAACACAAATGGCTTCATGACATCAGAGCAGCGATAAAAAGCCGTCAGGATGTAGAGCAGCCTCCACCCTCTCTGGCAGCTGTCTCTAAACACACAACAAACACAGCTGAAATGAAAAGCCCACTCACCCAAACCCATCACGTCTACATTCAGGACTGGTTTAGTGACATACGGTTTGGAGCTGGTGTTCACAGTGACCTGCTTCATCACTTGGCAGTAGGCTTCATCCTTTATCAGGCCATGGTCTCCACTTAGCTACAAGTGAAGAACATAAGTGTACATGGCAACGCAAATTAAGGTGAAAAGACAACATAGAACCCCACACAAATATTTCAGATTTATGGGATTAAATAGATCTTGTTTTTGTCAGTCTGTAATTTCCCAGGAGTTATTAAACAGTCTGCCTACCTTCAGTAAAGTGGTGACCAAGTCCTGCTCTGTCTGACCCTTTAGTGGAAAATCTCCCATGAACTTCATTATGACTGAAGAGAAAACAATTAATAAACAGTGTTAATTCATATGGTGCAAAATACTGTAATAATCTGTTATTTATCATGATGTACAAAAAAAGAAAATGCCATCATTTTCAGTCCCTCTCGATTTTTCCATTTATAACATTTCATATCCATTAGATCGAACGTAAATTAATTTTTAGAGACTTCTTTCGTCCAGTAAAATTATGGAAATCACACGTTGTTCTTCTCTCACTTATGAAGATGTCAGTGGCCACTCTGTTCATTCCTTTGTCTGAGAAGTCGATCAGAGATTCCTGCAGTGGAGACTGGAGAGAAAAACACAGAGTAAGGTCTGTATTGATTAATCATGATTAATCATAATAAATTATGATTGTGATTAATCAGATTTTAAATTTAAGAAAATTAACAGCTCTAAGAACATTTTTAAAAAGTTCTACTAAAACTGATGGACTTTACCTTAGAGAATTTGATCATGTCAGCTGGGTCTCTGCCTTCCTTTCCCTTTTTGTTTTTCTGGTCACTGAAAAACAAAACATTTCAAAACTAAAACATTTCAGCTTCGTCCTTCAGTTACACCTGTACTCTCAGTGTGAAGTCTGACCTGCTGTTCTTCTGTGCGTCTCTGAAGTACTTCTTGGCAAACTCTGTCATGTGGTACTGGTCACTGTGCAAAGGCAGATCATCCAGCTCAACGCCCAGACTGTCGCCATACACTTCGTTAACCACCTGACACACACACACACACATGTATTCGTTAACCACCTGACACACACACACATGTTAACAACCAGATTTAACACATTTATTTCCATTTCTGAAACCAAAAAAAACCCAAAACAACATCTTTTGCTGCTGACACAGATGCTGTACACACACCTCTGTGGAGAGGTCAAGTTCATGAGCAGCCACCGCTGAACCCATGGCCACAGCCACAGCAGCAGACGCAGCCACTCTTCCCTGTCTGTGTCGAGGCTCCACACGCTCATCAGGAAGAACCAGGAAGTCTGGAGCAGCCACAGGATGCACATACTCACTGGGAAAAACTCCAGATTTTCCGTACACCGCCCCAAACCGCCAGCCTGTCCACAGAATGTTGAGTCACAAAGTAAAAAAAATAAAAAATAGAGCAGGAAACATTATTTTAGTCTAGAGTAAATGTGTTTTAACAACAAAAGGAAGTGTCAAATAACAGAAAAGTGAAAATAAATTGAATAGTGAAACTGTTATTCTGGATTTGCAAGATTGGAAATTACAAAAGTGAATGCTATGTCATAGAAAACAAACCAACGTGCAAAATACAAGCAGCATTTGGGACACACAGAGTTGGACACACACACATGCACACACACACACAGCAGAAGTGGAAGAGCCCAAACTGAACCCACCAAACTCAGGAGTGTCTCTCTTTAGCTCCTCCAGAAGCATGACCTTCTTCCTCACTATGCAGCCATAATGTTTGCCTGATCAGCCACACATGTACAAACACATACACACATGCACACAAATACATATTGACATGAAGCAAAAGCAACAAAAGCTGCATAAATTACAAAAAAAACAACAATACAAACAACAAAAAAAGTAATTATTCACAGCCACCAGGGGGCAGCCTCTGCTACAAGAATGAAAGTGATTGATTGAAAGAATGTTTTGGTCATGTCTGCGTCTCACCAGCCTCCAGTCTGTCCATATGCTGCAGTCGGATGATGTCTCCTTTGTGGAAGCTGAGCAGAGTCCTGTCTTCGGTGATGTAGTTCCTCACTGCCACCACATACTCAGAGTCCTGACATAAATACGACACAGGTGTCATCAAATCCATCATCCTGCAGGATCCAGTTTTTGTGAACCGTCCCTTGAATCTGCAGCTTTATTCTAGAGGTTCTGTTCTGTTCATCTGCAGCATTTTTCTAGAGGATTTGAACCAGCAATCCTCGGCCACTAGGCCACAGGTTTCTCTGCAAATATCTCGCATTTCTATTTTCTACTGATTGACAATTTTAACCAAGGATAAGGACCAGTCTGAGACCCATACCTTCTTGAGCTCGGTGAGGAAATAGTCGATCATGTGTTTGACCTGAGGCGCCTTGGCAGAGAACAGGATGAGCTTCTCGTTGGTGAGGTTGAACTCCAGCATGTTTTTCGAGGGGATTGACACAAACAGGATGTCCGAGTAGCTGTAGAGGAGGTAATACACGCAAGACAATAGTAACAGGAAGTCAAGTGTTGAACACACAGGAGAGAGTGGAGAGGAGAGAGGTCTCAGATCAGATCAGTTCCTCTTCCTCACCTGTAAGGCCTCAGCACTCTGAAGTAATCTGAGGCAGAAGAGCTGCTCCGCACCATCTTGAGCAGCTTGATGCCTTTATGGGACACAGACAGCACCTGCACTCCGGTGCCTACACTGCCCTAAAACATACGCACACACAAACATGTATATATGTATGTATATATATATGGTGTATCAACTACTAACATTTTATAGCTAATTAATCATAGGACAATTGAGATCATCACAATAATATGACAAAAAAATCAATAAATTGCTGAAAACAAATAAAAAATATCAGCAGGTCCATGTATTTGTTTTACACTTGTGTTTTTTATTTGTGACTACTCCCATTGATAAATAAATAAATTTTTAACAAATCTATTAAAATAATAATAATAATATTGATGTATAAATGACTCAACTTACAGATGCTGGGAAAAGGCGTGAGAAGTAGATTTCCCATGAGTCTTTGGCCATTGACACAACTTTCTTTTTTGTGTTTTCATCTTGTGTTCCTGAAGTCTGATCTACACTGTTTTCCGCTGTTGAAAAAAAAAATTTAAATAAAAAAATTTACATTTTACACAGTTATTGGTCCAGACAGTATCTGTGTGTGTGTGTGTGTGTGTCAGGTTGGTTATTTACCAAAGAGAGTTTTCATTTTCTGTCGTTCGTCTTGAGTGATGCGGATGCAGGCCTCAGAGAAGGTGTCATGTACGACCTATGGAGTGAAGACAAAAAAATTAATATGTTATATTTTCTGTAGTGCTAAATATAATTTAATCATCGCAAATACCTGTCTGAAGATCAGTTCCAGAGTGAGTGAATTGTTGAAGGTCTCCCTCGGGTAGAAAACCTGCAAAAAGTGCAACAGTTTAAATATATTTGTTTAAAATTAAACTGTGTTTAGGTGAAGATTATTCATCAATTTATTTTCCCTCTGTGTGTATCTCCCTGACACACACCTCTTTCCTCATGTAGAGCTTCCAGGGAACGTTGGAGTATGTGTAATATTCCTCACTGGCTCTGCTGTGGAGCTGAGTCTGAACAATCTCCTCTTCTACTGGCAGCTCTCTGGAAACTGCAATCAAACGTACAAACATCAAATGTTACACAGTGGAATATCAGACAAACCCTCTCCAATTTTGTAATGACATCATCCAGGGTGGGTTCAATCACCTGTAGGAGGCGCTGGGCTGAGGTTGGCGCTCTTTGGTGCTGCTGGACGAGACTTGGTCGACTTGGTGAACTTGGAACCGTCGTCATTCTTGCGTTGAGAAGGTTGAGGTTTCCTCTGTGACTGAGACAGAAGACAGTATCACATGTTAGTTATTGTTATTGTTTGTATTTCAGCATGGCAGTGTATGAACTGTGGCAGCATGGAAGGACAGGATGGTACCGGCTGTGGTGGGTTTGTCATCTGGTCTTTGAGAATCTCCATAGCTTCATCATGAGGGTCTGGCTTCTTCGTAAAGGATTTTCCTTCTCCCTTTCTGCACACATTAAATACATTTTCTGATGTTCACGGCCCGTGAAGATGAGAGGACATATTTTTCCGAGTTAATATTTGTGTTACCTTTGCGTAGCACTTCCAGCAGAGGTCGTGGTTCCAGCAGGTTGGTGCTGTTTAACGATGTCTTTAATGTCATGGCTGGGATCCAAACGCTCAGTGTTACTGACACTGGCCCGGACCACGTCCTCCGGAGGAGGGCTGCGTGTTGGGCCTGGAACATAGAAGAGTCTAGTTGCTGCAGAATCGTTTATTTTTACATATTAAGGAGAAGTAAAGACATAGTATTAAAGATAATTCTGTACAGAATAATCACTAATGACAACACAAACTGTCATACTCATTTTCCTGGAGCCAGACTTGTTTGCAGAACTGTCACTTTCCCTGGTCTGCAGAAGAGAAGCAGTAAAGGATAGACTTTAGTTTTTCTAAGATAAAAAAGAAGTGTGAGCTCGAACTCTTGCACTGCCACAGCACAGTGCAGGTGAGCGATGTGTGTGTGTATACTCACAGGACTGGGTGTGTAGGAGCGCTGCTGTGTCTGTATGTGATGCGGTGATGGTGGAGACTGTGGAGCTGGAGTCGCAGGAGGGAAAGAAGACAACATCTGCTGCTGGATGGCGATGGCCTGCATGGTCATCTGCTGGGCCTGCGACACACACCAAAGCAGAAATGTTTTTTCTACGTTTTTTACCAATATTCTTGATCAAAAATCAAGCATGGACGTCAAAGTGAGGAGCTGGTTCAGACCAGAATGATAGCCTGCTGGTTGATGATGGCCTGCTGCTGCTGAGTCAGCACTGACTGCTCCGCTCCTACAGGAGACAAAATTGAAAAAATTAAAAAAACAACTCACAGTAGGTAAACCACGTCACTTCAAACAAAGCTCCAAACACACCAGTATCTAACGCCGTTCTACGACTTCACAGTATTTGGTGTTCAAACGTCATCAAGCCGACACTCTTTAGGGCCAAACATGCGTGAAAACCTAACACATGCCCAGTTTTTGTACCTGGCACACCTGTCATGACAGGCAAGCCTGGGACTACGGGTGAAGCTGGCATGGAGGGCACCCCCGACAGACCAGGGAGCCCTGAGACCTGGGCAGCGACATCTACGTCTCTGTCTGCAGTGGGGACGGCCGTGGGGGCGCGCGTTGGTGCCACGTGTGGGACAGGAGTGGTGTCAGGAGGAGTCGGCTGAGGATTTAAGTTTTGGGGTCGGTTGTATTGATGATATTGTGGCTGTGGCTGTGGCTGGGGCTGTGGGTGTGGGTGGGGGGGTGGGTGGGGGGGGTGTTGTGGGGTGGCGGGTGCGTGTG